GTCCCTCCTTTCCACTAACCTTTGTTTGGTTTTGGAAAATATTTCAACACCTTGTCTTAAAATATTTTATTCATCATGTTAAAATAAAACGTTCCATAATCATTTTTTCTTTTCTTTTCTTTTTTCAATTTTTCCATTTTTTCGGAAAAAAACAAAAAATCTTCAGGGGAAAAAACGGGAAAAAAACGGTTTTTTTCCGAATTTTTCCGTTTTTTTTCCGGGCCTTCACATCTCTACTTTTGCCCTCAGTTTCCTTCGAGCCGCGGGCCAGGCCACTGGCCAGACACCATTGCTTGGCCTGCAGGCCCCAGACGGGGCCATGCCACTGCTGCCGAGCCGTGGCAGCCAGGAGCCGCCACCAGCCAAGAGGCGGCCCAGGCTGACATGCACTGGCTCTGCCCACTTGCCTGGAAAGGCACTGGGGGTGGCCGAGTGGGGAGGAGGCAGCGACCCATTCCCTCGCGCCTCCCCTGTGCGGTCTGCGGATGAGGGGAGATGGCGCCATGCCACCGCACTTGAGGCCGGCCGGTGAGCCAGGCCCAGCCTGTCCCATCGCCCCCAGGGCCTCGATCCCGGGGGGGGGGAGTGCAGGCTGCTTCCCCAAGTTGGGGGGGGAGGAAGCGAACGGCACCCTCCGCCCGGCCGGGCTCGTGCCCATTGTGAGGAGAGAGGCGAGCCTGGCCGGCTTCCCCCGCTGGCACCTCGATCGGGTGGGGGTGCTGGGGGAGGGGTGAGGCCCACTGGAGCCTCAAATACACGGCAGGAGGACCGAGGAGAGGGAACTGGGGAAGGAGTCACGGGCCTGCAGCCAGCTGCCCGAGCCTGTCCGCTTGCCCCGCTGGGGCCTCGCCCGTCCGGGGGTGGCAGCGGGAGTGGCCAATCCAGGTGCCTTGCCCCGCCAAGGCCTCAACCCCACGGGGGGAGTGCGGGCTGCTTCCCTGAGTTGGGGGGGCTGGGAAGCAGATGGTGCCCTGTGCCCGGCCGGGCTCGTGCCCATTGCGAGGAGAGGGGCGAGCATGGCCATCTTCTCCTGCCAGCGCCTTGATCGGATGGGGTGCCAGGGGGAGGGGCGAGGCCAGGCACCTTGACCCGCCGGAGCCTCGACTGCGCGGGGCAGGACGGCCAGCTTAGCCGTGGGGGGACCCGTACTGTGGAGACAGCGACCCGTACCCGTGCGGCCAGGCTAGCGGCCGTTGTCTTCAGTTCCACAACGGGCCTTCTTCCTAGTTCTTCTTCCTACTTGTGCCATTACTATTTTAAACTGACATTAGGTTAAAAAAATTAACAGATCTTCTTCGTGGTCTCTGTGCAGATCACACACTGGGTTTTGCACTCAAGCCATACCCTCGCTGGGAAGCTTAAAACCTTTTAGACAAACCTCTTGTGGGAGGGGCTTGCTCTAATCTGAGGGCACAGATGTGCACTGAGCATGCCTAGAATCATGCAAAGCCCCCCCCCCCCCCTTCCTTTCAAACTGCCTCTCAGCGGGACGTTTTTCAACCTCGTTCTGACCGACAACCTCATTTTTTTCTCTCAGTCAAAAAACTTACCTCAAAAATAAAATATTCAAGGACAAAGGGGATAAACTCAAATACCTCGCACAACACCATGCTTCTGAATTTCCCCTCCAATCCCCTATCCTGAGGGGACAGCGTATGGAAGCCTCACCATACTTTAAACACTGTTCAAACTGTAAAACCACGATCCCCCCCGCAGACGGCCACAATCGCTGCTTGCTGTCTTTGGGAGAAAACCACAACACTGAAGCCTGCTAATACTGCGTAAAATTCACCCGACAGGCAAAAAAGAACAGGGCAGCCCAACTGAATTTTTTTTTTTGCTTGAACAGGCATTAACGCCGCAGATGGCACAGGCTGCTATTACATTAATGTCACCACTTCCCCCTGTCAAAGAGAGGGGAGATTCGGCTATTCAAGGCGCGAACCCGAGTAAGGCAAAAAAAAAAATCAAAACCTGACAAGGGGTAAGCACTAGGCTGACACGGCTCCGAGCAATTCAAAGCCTAAGGCTCGGAAGTCAACTCACATCCCAAACCCGTCGGCAGCCTCAGGATCATCAGGCCCTGGACTTCCGGTGGATGGTGGCATGCTAAACAGTCGCATCTCCCAGATCTCCTGGGGATGCGAGCTGCGCACGAGCAGGAAGGAGGGGGTACGCAGGCTCATTGCCCCCCAAGAGGCCTGGCAAAGGGCTTCTAGCCATGGGGCTTTCAAGAGGTTGCCTCTTTGCCAGCGAAAGGGGAGAGCCCAAGACCAAAAGGAACCACCGAGATGGCTAAAATATTGGCAGAATCTCTGCACCCCTTGCTGGAACAGATGACTAACATCAAGGAACAGTTGTCTACAATGACCAAATGTATCACCACCCAGCAATTGCAAGTGAATGAGACTCTTAAAATTACAGAGCAAACAGCTGAGAAGGTGAAAGAAGTTGACGCCACTACCCAAAAGGTGAAGAAAAAGGTACAAAAATTGGGAAAAAAGCAAGTCTCCACAGAAGAACAACTTTTACAGCTGCAAATGGAGAAGGCAAACCTGGTCCTCCGATTCCAGGGTGTCCCAGAATCTAAAGGAGAGAATCTGAAGCAAATATTGAGCGAAGCATTAGCCCCAGTGACAGATTTGACGGCGGAGTACTTGATGAGTGAAATGGATGTGGCCTATAGGTCATATTCCGTATATATAAAAAAGAACAATCTGCCTGGGGAAATAGTAATGAGATTCTCGAAGAGACATGTGAGGGATACTATCCTGAGAGCGACGACAGTACCGGTGGTTGTATCCAGAGGGCGTAACCTTCAAACTTCAAGATAAAAAGGGAAAGATTGACTCTGTTTCCAAAGCACGGGACTTTTTGAAAATCCAGATGGGCGAGCAAGAGAAAGGCGATAAAGAAGACAGTAAGACTCGGGGTCTTCTGGAGAGGACTCTCTGTCAGAGAAGGGGGAAGCGGCTCCTAAAAGTCCTTATAAACTGTGAAGAAGACAAGATAAGAAGAAATGAAGGCTGAAGGACTCTGTATTGTGCCTTTGAAAAGGGTTGATAGTAATGAGATGCTTTGGGGGGTTTCTTTTTAACAGTTAATTTATGATTTAAAAGTGGTATTAGCAGACCTGACGAAGTTCAAAAAAATTGTTAGCGAGTTTAGAACTGACTTTGTAATTAAGCAATTTTGAGGATCTCCCCTCTTGGGATTTTAGATAGTAGGGGGTATTATTTTCTTTATCCCTAATTGTAGTTCCCTTTCCCTATTTTCGTTGTAGATTTGTAGTCTTTAGAAAAATGTAATTAAAAAATCCCCTTTGGGGGGTCAAAAAAAAAGGATCATCAGGCCCTTTGGGTTCGACGGTGACTGAATCAATAAACAGAGATTTTACCTACACAGTCCCCGTCAGAAAGGGTGGGGCGATGCATTCTGACCAGAACTCTCTGATTCCTGCAAAGGAAGCAGGAACAAATATCGTTACTCCGGCCCCCACCAATCAAATCTGTCCCACCGCTGCTCTTATCAGCGGAAGAGGACTCCATCTCCAGATGCTCCTTGACACCGAAATCATGGTCTAGGATGCCATCTAGGGGAAGGTTCCAGGAGCACCAACAAAATAGATCAGCAAATGATTGCTCAATGAGACACTCCAGAGATAGATGTTGTAGCAGTCGTGATTCCCCGAGATTGCGGCGTCTAACTCACTACAATAATAGCAACTATTGTCACTCCTATTACGAAC